TAATGGCTAAGATACAAGGGGGGTAGTTACTTTTGACCAGTACTGTACATTGTAAACATATTTGTTACCAAAGTGTAACAATCTTTTCGTATATTGATCATTTTCATAGATGAGATTTTGAATTTATTAAAGTAATATTATATATTTTCAACTTTATTTTAATAAATTAATATTCATTGTAACAAAAGAAAAATTCGCGAAACGTTTTCTCGATGATTATGAATTTATTTCAATAAGAATCGCTAAAACAATCTAGTTTACTTAATAAATTATATGAAATATATATTACTCTTTATTGAGAATTTTTTGAGTGTCAATTTGTACTTATACTCCTATCACACTTTCACACGTATATTTTCAAATTTCTAGTATATATTTATTTATGTATTGTAACAAGACTGGATACAAATTCAACATGTATTAAATTAATAAGTTTGATCAATAAAAAAAGAGCAAATTCGTGAGAAGAAAAATAAATACATACGTTTTCATCCTATATAAAAATTGATCATCTATATCTGAAAAGAGTGGTAGCATTCTACCTACTGAGTCTCCTTAGAAATATTCATCTCTTTTTATTTTGTCTTCGATGATGATGTCTCTTTTCTTTCTGTTCATCAATGAAAATATATAAATAGAAAGATTATTTCTTAGATTGTGTCTTTCGATGAACAATATTGATAACATTTAATGTGTTTTTTGACAAACACATTCAACTCTACATATGTATATAGCATCAAATGAAACAAACAGATGATTTTAATTTAGTTCTTGTAGCGATTTTTCTCTTGAATATAAACATTGTACTATTAGTTTGCATAAACTAAATTATGTCTTTTCTTTTACACGTATACAACAATTGTCTATTTCTCAGATGTAGAAAATTTATTCGAATAATTTTATTACCGATTGATGGTTTACAATCATATATACTGACTTGACTTTCGAATATTCGGTAATGCTCCATTTCAAGCACTTACTGATTTGTCTCAATCTGCTATTGCGTTATTTCAACAAAATACATTGTCAAGCTCAAATGTATTATCTGAAATTGTTCTTCAAATATACATTTTTTTGTCCTAATGAAATCAATATTTGTTTGGCTGATTTTAATTATGAAGCAAAATCATGATCTTAATTGTAGTTCGTTAAGGGTGGGTGCAGCAAACTGTATAGAAAGAGATTGTGTTGAGAATTTTTTTTCTGACAATGAAATCAGAAACTTGTATAAAGATGACAGCGATTGTTATCTTTAATGATTGAGCTACATGTAATACTTCTGATTTCATTTCGAAAAATCAAAATTATAAATAACACGAAACGAAAAGAAACATGAGAATAAATTTTGTATTGCGTTTATTTAGAGTTGGATGTACTTAATAACTCTTGAATCTTTTGTAGCAGCGCTGCATTCCAAATTTGATATCCATCAGCATTCAGATGTACATGATCATCTAAATGTTCTAATCCTATGTCTCCGGGTGGATCCATCCAGTGAACACGAGAACTCGGTTGCGCCTCTTTTCTCATTTCTTCTGCATTAATTTTAGTAACAAGCTCTTTCAGTGCCATATTTGAATGTGTAACACAATGTTCATCGATATCTGTTCGTCTAAATAATCTTGTCACAAGTATCTGTGTTTCAGTCGACAGAGTTCTGAGTACAACATGCAAAAGAAGACAATAATCATCCAGATGTTGAAATTGTAATGCTTTCCCTGGTCGAAGATTATTAGTACCTACATGCAGTACAATGAGTTTAGGCTTTTTATGTTTCAGTAAGCGAAGCAATCCTAAATCGATACGATAGAGTACATTGTCGATTTTATCTCCACCTACACCGGCATTAAAGACTTGTGGATAACGGAGTTGTACAATCTGAGTGTGTTTTCCCGTAGTTTTAAAACGTTCCATCATAGAATCGCCAAGAAGTACGGTGTCGATCTGCGATGAAACTTCCGATAATGCCGTTGTAGAAGTATTAGCCGACGGAAGACTTTCTAATTGTGGTCGGTGTACTTGATTATGCGTATTCTGAGATCGAATTTTGAAACGTGCTCGTTCAGTGATGAGACGGTTAAACTGCGTGTTGGAAAGTTCACCATATTGGAATGATGTCGATGCCATTTTATTCTAATAACAACAAAGACAAGGAGAGAAATGAGAAGTAAAAATGATTATATTGTAACAGTGGTTTTCACATAGTGGACTAGTCCACAGAGCTGATAGCTTTCGATGGGTTCGAAATCTTTTTACAAAATCTGTTACTTTTGGAAAATTTTACATGAGAGTACTTGATGATCTCACTAATTTTACGGAACAATCCAAATTCTATCTACTGGCTAGCTCAGAAATCGCAAGAAAATAAGCATAGGAGAAACGGCTGATCTTTATTTTAAAATCAATAACTATATATAGTACATGAGAAGATGATGAAAGATAATGATGTAGTGTAGTGACAGAGAATGACGCGAATAGACTATGCTAATAGATGAAATTGGATAACAAGTTACTTCACTCATTTTTACGAAGGAAGAAAAGAGAATATCGAAATAGCTGATAAGGAGTCAGGTATAGAAGAATGAAAGGCAACGACATTTACATTCAACCACGAGTTGTTTTTATTTCTCTCCAATACACCCTCAAGAGAAGAAGACATTCATTCAGGTTTGGGATGAAAAGTTAGAGAACAATTTTATGAGCTTATATTTCTATAGGTCAATTAAATGGTCAGAACATTGGTTTATAAAAATAATAGAGAATCGTTATGGTTATTAAATGAACTTCCAAAATGATAATACGATACCGGTCTATTCTTCAGTCATCTCTACGACTTACCCACATCCTTTCTTGTCTGTACATGAAAGTGTATATTTATAATAAAAATAAATTAATATAGATATCAACGTAAAATTTTCTTGTTTTAATGTAAACAAAAAGAAAAGTGACGAAAATAAAGCAATGTTTCAACAAGAATCAAGATTATAAAATACCAAAATCCATTTTTAAACAGATTTATTATTTGTTCGAAAGGTAATTGATATTCTTTCACCGACAGTATTTAGTTTCAAGGAATGTTTCCATAGATATCTGCTATCTCCTTTCATCACTAATAGACTACAATCAGGAGCATTTACACTTTTTGATAATGATCCATATTGAAATAAAATGTTTACTTCAGCTCCTAGTGAGAGGGTTGCAATAGTAGAACCAAATAGAACTTTATGATCTATATGCGGACTAATACTCTGTCCTTTTTTATATCTATTTATTATAATCTGATCGATTAAATTTTCAAAATTGGCACGTATTTCTACTTGTTTTTTAACATCATTCAACCATTCGGGTATTTCTTTCGCATCATTGACTAATTTTCTTGTTTTGTAATCATATCGTTGACCATAGTGTAAAGTATCTCGAGTTAATTCCTTACTCCAATTTTCTTTACATATATTGGACCACAGTAACTTTTGTTCTTCTTTATCGATGAATTTTTTAAAAACTTGTAAGCCCTCTATTTCGTTTGTGCATAATTTTATCTTTTTTGCAGTAGTATCTTGTTTTTCATTATTGACGTTATCATTATTAGTACTCCTGTCATATTTTGTATCACTTTCAACTTCTCTTTCACACCCTTTTCTTTTCATCAATGATAATTCTTTCAAAAAAAATTTCGATAAATGCAGAAGAAACACAAATGCGTCTTTTATATATGAAAGCAAATATTTCTCACACAATTTAAAAATTGTACAATAGAAAAGAAAGCTGATAACTGCGAAGCGTAAGCATCATAAGGTAAATATTGATTGTTTTTTAAACGTTTCTTTCTATGACGGCATACAATATACTCTCATAACTACTCGTGTTTTTTTGTGTTCTATATTCTGTTGTGCAACTTTATACTTAATTTAAAAGACTGAAAATAATTCTCTAAGAGTTACAATTATTAAAATGAAAGGGTGGATGTGAGTGTGGACATTGATCTTTGATTAGTTTATACTCACACAGAAGGCAGTGGATTCAAATTTTTACCTCTATACTCCAGTTGATGCATGTCTCTGCAGCGAAGCTTAACAATGACCTCTTTGGGTGTGATGGCACTGAATTCTCGAAGTGGATGAAATGATTTGCGTGCTTTATCACTAAAATAGGCGATTGTATAAGTTTTCAACAGCTGAACACGTAATATTTTCATTTCGAGTAGAACAAAACACGTGCCGATACAATGACGTGGCCCAATCCTAAAATAAATCCATGTCGTTTGATGATAAATCTTTTCAGATGAAAGCCTTCTGTGCTTACACGAATTTTAACGGATGGCACAATAAGAAACATTCGAAGAGTCTGTCGAATACAATTATCCAAATAATTCATTATAACATGTCTGACAATTAACAGTAGCTAATAAAAAAAAGAAGTTCTTTAACTCTTGAACAAGTAATTGATGATAATACCTGTTAGACTAAAATGAGAAGATTATCAATTACCTGAGAGCAATAAAGAAAAAGCCAAGTACTATATTCATAACTAACATAGAACAAATGTGAAAAATAAAATAGTTAGGAGCAGTGTTGCAATCAACCATGTGCCTCTCGCTCTCACATCACTAAATTATTATCTACATCAATATTTACTAATACCAACAATGTGAAATCGTGCTGTATTTCGCCGAAAAAGGAATCAGCACTGTAGTCTGCCCTTGAGAAACATGTGCATAAAGAAACTATTGAATTGGCAGACAAACCATTACGTTAAAAACAAAAAGACGTGGTCAAAAATCATGGGTGTATGAGTGAGGAATTGCAATAAAAATGAATAGAATATCGGTAGTCACATATGGCAGGCAGAATTCTGTTTCAGCAACATTAGCATTGATGTATATACAGAAGCCTAGTGAATATCCAGAATTCTGCCGGGTTTGGCGTCGTTTTTAGTGTTGTGTTAATAGTGATGAGATGATGTAGTCTACAGATTGGAGGGTAACTGAAGAATCTCTTTAGATGCTTTTCTTTGATCTGGTAGGATATATTATGATAGTTATATTTTGTTGTGAACAACACTTTCTTTAAAAAACACAACCCATTAAAACAAAACTTGAGAAATCAATGAATCGAACAACAAGCAAGACACAAAGAAACTCTCCAACACAGAAAAACAAAAGAAAGGCTTCGTAAACAAGAGAGAAAAAATTCACATAAAAAAAAGAAGAAAAGAATGCGAAAAAAGAAAAACAGCTCCTCCCTTCCAACTACCAGTTAACATAGTTGGTAAAAAATTGGACAAAAAAAGACAAAACGAAGGAAAAAAAGCAACAGCATGGTGCGGAGTGTGGTTATTTGACTATTTTGAGAACATGGGTGAGAATATTCTATTTCACTCACACCCACATCCATCAACACCGTCACCCACATGAATACCCACCGACACCCAGATCCTCAAGCAAACCCACTGTCATGCGCTTTTTTATTTTTCTTGTGCCGATTAGAACGAAATTACGCAGACACTATTTTTCAAGTGCATACCTTGAGGTGAATTGCTTCTCCTCTATGAGAGAAAAAACCCATTGCTTACTATATTCTATACGTATAAAAGCCATTTGAAAGAAAGCTTTTAGTAGTATTTAAATCTCTCCTCACTTTTTTTAATTTCAGAATATACATTTATCTCTCAACCATTTAACATATCAAAGTTTTCATATGGCAGAACTTTCTTTTTGTGCAAAATCTAATGATAATACTATTGCTGATGATGAACTAAAGTCATTTAGAAATGAAATAAGTAGTATTTTAGGATTACATGATGATATTGATGAGATTAAAGATCAAATAATTGATGATTTACTAAACAATGGTCGACAGTCATTAGCAAAATATGAAGATGATATTAAACCAAAAATATATAGAGTAGAAATGAATAGTGCTGATAGTAAATTGATTGTATTACTAAAAAAGTATTTTTATCGACGATGGGAAACACAATATAAGCTTTCAAACGAATGGTTTATTTCATTTCTTACACAATATCATAATGAAAAAGCTTCTGATCTTTACGAACGTGTTTTAGCTCATACAGCTGAAAATGGAAATAAATATTTGAAAAATTGTCCAATATTATCAATAGTTTTACAACTTCTCTTCGAAAATATCGATGATGAATGTTTAAAAAGTACTGGTACGTTCGATGATCTGTGGTTGACAATAACAAATGAAGGTTTGAAATCAATAACAAAATATTCTAATTATATTAAAGAAGAAGTAATGAATGAACAGTTAGATAAAAGTCAATCAATATTATTTCGAGCATTACGTGAATATCATCGACCACAAGTATTTTCATTATTGAAGGAACATAATGTTCCTGAAACGGACACTGTGTATGATTCAACATTAGATGAAGTTGCTGAGAATGGCTGGTTAACAGGTAAAGATGATATTGAACAAAAGATAACATCGAAATCAGACCAAATTCTTCATTCTAACCAACAACAACAAGAAGCAGCAGATCAGCATAAAACATTAGTTAATACGCACTCAACATCATCATTAATCGAAGAAGCTACAGGATCTAACGAAGGCCAAGGTAATTTGTAATTTAGTCTTATCTCAGAATGTTAATATAAGATAGAGGATGTGAGTGTGACTGAAAAGGATACTACTCGCACTCACCACACCCAGATCCATCTTTATATATAGTGACTATCAATGACGGGCAATATTTGCACAGAATAGTTGTAGGTTACACAAAAAAGAAACGTTTCTGATCTAAATTCTAGTTCAAGAATCAATGACTGATGAGACGATCAAAGTCTTTTTCAAACAATTTGGGGAAACTATTTATGTCCCAGTGTCATTAGTGTCTACAATAGAAGATATTATTAAATATGTCTGTCAAGCAAGTGTGCGTAGTATGGATATCGATTACAATGATTATTATCTTTTCTCAAAGAAAAATGATGAAATGTTTGATAATGACAAGACATTGAAGGAAACCAATATTCTTGCAATAGATGATTCTGATCTTCTACTGATAATGAAGACATCAATTAAAGAAGGAATCATAAGAGCTGCACAAATAAAAGCGATCGAAAATCAAGATAAAATACGAGTTAATCCACAAACACAAGCTGATGATATCCAATGTGAGAATATAGACTCGAACAATGCGGAAGTAAGTTTTCGTGATACTTCAGAATTCTCTTGAGTAATTCTATTCACCTATACCATCTTTAAATATAACGATTTTTTTCGCATTTGAAGTCATTACTGGACGGTTCCGAAGCTGCCAACTCAAATGAACTAATGACCAACGATGGAAAGGCAAAAAATTTGAACAGATCAGAACATACTCCAATAAGCAAGAGCTTAGAAACGAAAAAATCTAGTGCAAGTCCAGGTTTTCGTACACTTTCGTTGCCTGCACAAGATGTACCATCTAAAGATGCTGCGAATGTATTGCAAAAAGAAGATTTAGCTGACAATTATCAGCAATTCCAAAAAAAGATTCAGGAAATAGGTGAGAAGATCACTCGTGATCCTGTTTTACGTCAGAAGATTGCTGAAAAGTTTAATGAAATAAACATTGTCCTGTGTGGTTCACCACGAGTTGGAAAGAGTACTCTAATTAATGCTATATGTCAACAAGAACTGGCTAGAACACATGCTGGATTACATGCCTGTACGAATATAATTTCACCCTTCTATTTGAAAGGTAACACTACAGTTGGTGATGAAAACATAAACTATCGATACAACATTTGGGACACTCCAGGATTCGAAAACTGGGATCAAGCAGCCATTCGTTCTTGTTTTGAACGTATTAAAGAAAAACCTAAGTCTGACATTCTATGTATGATCTATTGTGCATCGCCTGGTTCATTCGCCAACTTGCGACAACTCGAATGGTTACTAGAAGAATGTAAAAAGCAGCATATATTTTGTGCACTTGTATGTACTAACAAATGGAGTGGATTCAAAGATCAACGAGAGGCTGTTATGAAAGATTTTCAAGACACACTCGTGAAATATCATCCCAAAACTCGAGAAGAAAATGGTATTATCTACTTTGGAAATATGGGTTTATGTACAAGTGTAAATAGCAAGGCAATTAAAGATGAAGAAACACATCGAGAATATGAACAATCTGGTATTAATGAACTTATATTTGGTATTATGCAATCAATTGACGTGGAAAAAGTAGCTCTATGGTGTATGTTTGCATTCGAGAACAAACCATTTTGGAAAAAGTTCTTTAACAACCCTACACAACAACTGAAAAATTTCTGGACCAAACTTTTCTAAGAAGCATGAACGGACGAAAGATTAGAACAGCAACTACAATTCCAAAAAACTAATTTGTTTTATCTCTTCCATTTTTTTCCTTGGAATTTTTTTATGAGTATTGTTCCTATACATTGTAATTGAATGATTCCATTAGAATTATGAATAGAACGTCTATTTATCACTTATTTTATCTTGAGGGTGTTGGTGCGGAATCATCTTTTCTTTAACCACATCCGCACTCTCAAAGTTTTCGACTTTTTTCTAAATATATCTAAAATATAAATATTATTACATACCTACGATAAATACTCATTTTTATTCTATTATGTTATTTTAACGAATACTTCAACGCATACAACGAGAAAGAGAGTGCGAGAGCTCTTATCTGTATAATACGCAAAATAAACAGAAACTAAAATAATATTGAACTTTCATATATATATTGGAAGATTATACACCAACACCCACACCCTTACATTTCATGAATCGAAATACAAAAATGCTAAAAATCACTAATATAAGTATGTTTTATTAAGTCCTAATTCAGATAAAATGTTCGTTCATCTGATATTCAAACTATAGTTCGCTGCGATGATTCATTCGAACAGATATTTGATTATCAACAATTTTGATAATCTTCATGATATCCACTTGTGAACTATTGTCCCGTGCACGCATCATCATCTGTTTAACTTTTTGAGCTTTTCGAACATAATTCGTTTCTTGATCAAATATTTCTTTTATATATCGTCCAAGTTCGTCACTTGATACATGTTTATGACCATTTGTCAGAGCAGTATTTTGTAAGCATCGACCCATACCAAGTTCATAGTCTAATCGCTCTCCATTTATAATCTGATCGCCAAATAAAGGCCAGATAAGTGTTGGCTTTCCTGCTGACATACCCTCAAGCAAACTATTCCAACCACCATGTGAGATAAACAAACGTATTGCAGGATGCGAAAGAATCAATCGTTGTGGGGCCCATTCAAGGAGTAAATGTCGTTCTTTATCAATCCACGAAGGAGAAATAGATGTTTGCAAATTCGCTTTTAATGCCCAGATGAAAGGATATGGTTTGAGTGCACGAACAATTTCTTTAATTTGCACAGGTTCAAGATATGCCCATGAACCGAAACTGACATAAATCACGGATGGTTTCTGATTTGCTTTCTCATATTGTTCATCTAACCATTTTGTGATACTACCAGCATTAGGGATCTAAATGAATAATTTAGTGAATAGAAAATCTTGCAATTGAATATACTCACATGTTGTTGTTGATTAAGATCGTCGGACATGAGTGGTGCTACAAAGAAAATGGGTCTATTCGAACCAGGTACAGTTTGTTGACGTAAATCTTCTAGAGATTGTTTATCCAATTCACGAATCGAATTACAAATAAGTCCTTTAGCAACAGAAATTGTTTTGTGTAATAGACGATCGAAATCTAAACCTAATTCACCACTTTTGATCTTCGCCACAGATGCACTCATATAACCCAAATAAGCCAACAAATTGTTGGGTACAAAAAGATAAGCCATGATATTTCTTTGTTGACCTTCCCAAACAGGTGGTAAAATAAAAAGATCAGAAATGATTAAATCAATAGGATGTTGAATAAGACCAGTTGCGAACGAGACAGATGGTGAAGACGTTGATGAGCTCGATCTGGTATGTGTGGGGAAGAGTAATTTTCGAAGTGGTTTATGCATTCGATCGAGTATTTGTTGAATGTGATTGAGAGCTTCGAAATTGGTAGCCTTTAAAATTAATCTATTTTAGTTTAACTCAATTCATTGATTTTAAACAAAAAAAAATATGTCATATATCATAGACTCTTTTATATAATTCTAGAAGAGAGATACATGTCGCTTTATTTTCTCCTAATTAGTTTGCTTATTTTCAATTTACTGTATAATTTAACTCACTTCATAATCATTAGTATTACCATCAAATAAACCAATAACATTTAATTTTGATCGAATCGAATTATTATTTTCATTTTCATTTTCTTCAATAAATCCACGTCGTCGAAGCATATCAAGTTTCGATGCTGATACAATATAAGTAACATGATGATGTGTAGATAACCGTTTAGCAAAATCCAATATTGGAATCATGTGACCGTAGAAAGGTGATGTTATTAATACTATATGACCAATATGTTTGGTTTCCATGGTAGTATCTCCTGTTGATGAATAGACATATGTAGACGCACAAAGAAGAATCAAGAATAACATCTTGATTAATTCAATATACAAAAGACTTGTAAAAACTAATTGTTAGTTGTTATATAGAAAATTTTTATCTACAAAACAACAGTTATTCATGTTCTATTTGTACAAAAGTAAAGAAATTAAAGCAAGCGAAATATATAAAACAGGCGATTTGAAACATTTGTATTTTTTCTCTTTTTTCTACACGTTTCAAGCGGTTCGATTTAGTGACGTTTTTTTTTCTTTCTTAGCAATCACTTATAAAAACGTTGGCAACTCAACACATCAGAACATAAAATTTCTTTTAACAAATTCATCTACTCATCACATGTTCTTCAACAGTACTGTTCTCCGTCGATGCTTTACAATATATTAAAATAAATCGTTACAAAGTTGTTGCTTCCGTCGTTTTTATATTCTAAATACTAATAAAAGAGAGTGTATCAATTACAATCATTGACTTCCATCTATTATTGTTACTTTAATAATTTATCAATTTGGTAGTTTTGTGATTGAAGTGCGATTGTGGGAGATACCTATAATCACACCCATAGTCATCCACACCTTTCTATCTGCTCAAAACTTTGCAGACAAGAAACAAAATGTGTATAAATCTTGCATTTTTTTTTGTTTATAAATACATAAGAACTATTTATTTTATCGACTGTGTGATGAATAAAAACCACGTCATAGTATACGATCCATATTTGATAGAGTTTTAGATGAAATATCATAGAGAAAAAAAATCGAAGTTTTTATAACTTATTGTCATCGAGCGACCTCTTCGATTATCTTCCAAATCTATCAAAAAGATCACTGAAGCAGTATATAGTCCAGTGTTGACAACTATACGTGGAGTTATGTGCTTATATAACTCGAAGACACGTTACACAAACATTGATTCTTTTTATGTCGCAGTTGCTATCGTAAGTGATAACATTGTTCTACTAACAAAGTAACATTACTATGGACGTTTTTCAGCGATTATACTACTTACAAGGTTCTAATTGTTGGTGATACTGGTGTGGGTAAATTGTCTTTTTCAGCAGTTAATTCTGTAAGTAGAAGCTAAAAGATTTACATCTAATCATTTTATGTTTTCTTAGAGTCCTGTTTCATTAGAATCACTAGCCGAACAGTTTGGCTTTTTTTGCCATAAAATGATATATATTCAAGATATGTTTTGTTATTCCTTTTAGTGGAATGTTAAAAGTGAAGAAAAATTTCGTAGCACTAGGTTTTACCTTTAGGAAGTTTTTATCGAGGTGTACACGGTATTATTATTATATATGATGTGACAAATCAAGTATGAATATCATATACTTTCAAAATTTTATTTGAAGCAATGTAATTTCTTTCTAGGAATCATTTGAAAATGTGAAAAATTGATTGAAAGATGTTGATACGAATGGAGGTGAAGCTCTGATCAAACTGATTGTTGGCAACAAATGTGATTTAATAACAGAAAAGATTGTTGATTTTGAAGAAGCCAAAGTAAATTGAATTTGACCATTGAAACAAAAGAAATTCGATTTTTAATTAAGGTATATGCTGTTTCATCAAAGATTTCCTTGGTGGAAGTTTCCGCAAAAATGTGCACAAATGTTACAGAAGCAATTATGTCTATGATCTCGAATATCTAGTCTTCTGAAGTATTAAATCGAAAAGACACGTCAAATGAATCAAAATGTGACTTAATTGCAAATACATTCTTCCGAGTCTGTCGTTTCATTAAGTATTCATAAATCACTTCAAGTCAAAACTTGCGAGTAATTCATACAGAAGTAGTTTTTAATGAAAGGGATAAATTATATAATAAGTTTGATAGAATTAATATCAATTATACTTTTTAGATCAAGCAACTTCAACAACAAATGATCAACATGCTAATTGCGAAGAATCATATGATATACTATATATATCTTTTCCAACTGATGTTTGTTCAGTAGCTGAAGAGCAACACGTTACTTGTGAAAATGCGTGTGTGAATGGTAATCAGGTTCTTGTTGATGATAATACAATTTCAACCGAACATTTACCTACAGAAGCGAATGAAAACATTGAAAAGGAAGGTAACAGAAATCCAGAAGAAGGTGAAACTGAAATAGATTAAATACTGGCACCACCTTATCAATTACTCAAGGAAAAATAAATCAGGCGTACGATAAACACACACAGTTAAATCAATCGTCGTATAATAATTAATATTGCTAACTTCAAATCATATATTTTATCAAAATTATTTTTCTTTCTTGTTCTCTTTTTTCTTCTATACTTTTTAATTATTTCTTTATTTTGTATTCTGTTTTCTCCACGTGATGCATATGTGTTGGTCGTGTTTTTTAAGAAAAAAAGGAGAATAAAAGTTAGGTGCACCTTAAAATACCGTAAAATGAAACACAAGTCTTTTTGAAATGAACCGTTAATGATGAAGAACAAGCTCTTGCACACAATACATCAATTTTTCAAATATATATTATGTCAGAACTCCAATTCAATGCAAACATCAAGCACTTTTGAATAAAGAACGATTAATTAAAGTAAAGATTTAACCTTTTGTTTAAAAGTAAGTATGAATGAGAGCATCTATTTCACACAACACTCACACCCACCCTCAAGATGCGTTGAGAAGAAAACCAATATTAAAAGAGAAATTAAGATAGATGAAGTTTTTAATGTGTGTAAAGTACCAAATTTACCACGATAAACAGTAGAACTTTTTCCTTCAAATATTTCTGTATTGCAGCATCCTCCATTATATCGAGAGCCCTGTTGCCAATTAAATGTATTAAATGAACAAAATGAACATTATAGCAAGATCATTGAACAATGGCAAGCAGAAGAAATTAGCTATGAAGACAATTATACTTCCGATTATTATAAATTAGCTGTCAAAAACAAAAAAGAAAACGCTCAAGATCAATTGAAAACGTATGTGACTAAAAATAAAATCATACCTCCGCTGCTCTCGATCAATATCGATTAGGAATGTTCAATATAATTTTCTCAATAATTTGTATATTTTAATTATTAACATTTTCATAATAAACATCTACATAAATGTTCAAGATAATAAAATAAGAAACGACCACATGAATAGAGGTGTAAGCCGATCGGTTAAGCCGCCGCCGCCAGTAATCGAGAAAATTTTTAAAATTTCAAACTGCAGTCGCTGGCATCTATCTGTGTGAAAATTAAATTTTGTTCTTTTATAATGATTTTTATTTAACTCGCAATATTGTTCATGATTCTCTGCTGATCTTAACTTTATTTTTGCCTTTTGTAAAATCTTCAGCCGCCGCCGCTGAAGAGTAGAAAAATTTTAATATTTTCAAGCCGCCACCGACAGGTGAAAAAATCTGATTTTTTTAAGACGCCGTCGCCGATTGATTCATCAGCTTACACCTCTAGACATGAAACATCGACGAAGAAATACTTTTGCTGCTTCTATTTTTTTATTATTTTTCTTTCATTTCTTTATACTAAGAAAGTCTTCGTTCATCGAGAGCATTCCTCTTCTTCCATCGTCGTATAATATAACGATTCACAATGATTCACTCAAGCAAAATAAGAACGACATTAGTAACAGTGTAAAAGTGCATGTTAAAGTTCATATGAAAAAAGTGCTTTCATAGAACAGGTAAAAATAATGAAGTTATATGATTCTTTGTAAACAACATCTTTGAAAACAAACATAATTTCATGACTCATCTTATTTAGTTATATATATAAGAAGAGCTTTTTACTTCTTTCTTTTACAGTATAATCATCGAACGCAAGTAGTCAAACAAAGAATGATCGTGAAGGTAACTATGATGTTGTTTTCAATGTTTATAATCATAGTTTCATACTATGAAATTGCTGCTGCCAAGCAATTGTTCAAGTAAGTTTTATCTTTATTAATTAGAATAGAACATATATTTATTAATTTGAAATATTTAGAATTCCTGTTAATCGAATTCAATCACGTTCATCAACAACAGAGAATTGCACAGCTTCATCAACAAATGAAATAATATGTGAAAAATCTTCACGTACTTTTGGAAAAGTTGCTGTTATAAAATCATCTGCTTTTGAAAGTCTTATCAATGAAGCTGATGTAAATGATTAATTATTATCATAGTTAAAATATTTTAATTTATTTCTTCAATAGGAAGAATTTATTGGAACGATCTGTATTGGTACACCATGTCAATCTTTTCTGATCGATTTTGACACAGGCTCATCTGATCTCTGGGTACCATCAAGTAAATGTACATCGGGCTGCAGTAAGTTATTAATATTCGTTTGAAAATGGTAATAATCTTTTTATCTTTTAGGTGGATTTAGTAAATATACATCATCTGCATCAACAACATATATTCCTAATGGAAAAGCGTTTTCAATTTCATATGGTGATGGTTCTGGAGCTAAGGGAACTTTTTGTATTGATACTGTAACAGTAAGTGTCAAGGTGTTATTACTATACTCGAATGATTTATATGTTCTTCTATTTAGATCAATGGAATTGCAGTTCGAAATCAAACATTTGCTCAATGTACAAGTTTGTCGGGTATGAATGGTGATCCTAGTGATGGTATTCTTGGATTAGCTTATCAAAGTTTAACATCAGGTGGTGAAAAACCAGTTTTCTATAATATGTGGTCTCAGGGTCTTATTGCTGAACCTGTCTTTTCTTTCTATTTAAATCCGTATGTATTGCATTTTTTATTGATAATCAGCATGTAACATCTAAATATTTTTTTTACAGTGATGTAAGTGCTTCAACTGGTGGTGAACTCATATTTGGTGGTGTTGATTCTACGAAGTATACAGATTCAATTACATATATTCCAGTAGCACTCGAAGGATATTGGGAATTTCAAATGACAAAGTGAGATTTTAATAAATATTTTTACATGAATTATATTATTCTATATAGAGTGACTGTTGGGTCGGCTGCGATCGCTTCATCAGGATATGCTATTGCTGATACAGGTACAACATTGATCATTGGACCTAATAAACAAGTTACAGCATTGAATGTTGCTTTGGGTGGTAAATATGATTCATCCAGTGGAATGGTATGATTTTATTTATTATTGTTTGTTATGAAAATAATCCTATCATTTTTAGTATACAGTTAGTTGTACAACACGTACACTTTCATCTTTTCCTAATGTTACATTTACTATTGGTGGTACAGATTTTGTTTTAACACCATTACAATATATAATTATCTATAATGTAAGCAAAAATAGCTATGTATGCTACAGTGTGTTTGTACCGGACGATATAGAAGATTCGGATGATAATGATTTCTGGATCTTGGGAGATTATTTCTTATATTGGTTTTATTCAATATTTGATATTAACAACAATCGTGTCGGTTTTGCTAAATCAATTTCATACGATTGGAAACAACCTGTTGCTTCATCTCTATTTCTTGGAACAGCTACATCATCAAATACAACTACAGCTGCAACAACTGCTCGGTCGACAACTGCAACAACAGCACGGTCGACAACTGCAACAACTGCACGGTCGACAACTGTAACAACTGCACGCAGTACAACTGCATCAACAACACGAAGTACAACTGCATCAACAACACGAAGTACAACTGCACGGTCGACAACTACACAAAAGTCTACTACAAAGTATACGACTAAATCAACAACAATAACAACAACTCCGAGAAAAAACATGACAAGTACGACAAAACCATATCAACCACACAAAAATTTACACCGACGACATCACCATTAACCATAATAATAAAAAAACGACTACTTTTTTTGATTTACTAAGCATGTTATTCCCGCATCAAATCGTATTTTTCCAAAAAAGAATAAAAAAAACAAAATAAAACTTTTGATCTTAATTACAAAATAATTAGTTTTTTTTTGTTTCAATATTGATTAATTATTATAGACATTCTATTCACCACCGGGCCCTACTTGATCTTCTCCAAGTGTTTCATTTACTAATGCATGTGCTTGATGTATAGCAAGATATTTTGATTTTTCTCGATTCATTTGTCGACTTCAACAGGTGCAAAAATAACTAATAATTCTTTCATTGTTAAACAAAAGTTCGGCAAAATTGATTTGTCTATACTCTATACTAATAGAAATTCGATATAACTCATCAGCAAAACCGGCAACTGCAACCCATTTCTCAACAGTGTCTTTTCTAATATACTTCCTTCTTTATTAATTGCAAATAATGATTCAGTAAAACCTTCGTCAACAAAAATATATCGTGAATCATACATGAACAATTTAAAATTAATACAAGTGCAAAAGAGAAAACATTGTCTACTGACTGCCAGATAAAAAAAATTTATGTTCATTTCGAAGTCAAAACTTATGAATCGGTTCTTACATACAAAAACATCGAAAGTTCCCAAAAAATGAAAGCAATATTGTAGTCTGAAAATTTTGATGATGATAAAAGATAAAAACGTCTTTAAATAACAATTCAATGCCGAATAAGTAATGCAAGAATAATCAACATAACTGGAAAACTTAAAAAGTGTTGATGAAATTGTTCTTGAAGATGATTTATCAAAGATTTACGAGTTTGAGTATTCGATTGTAGACCATATTTCTTGATGATAAGAATATTAACTGAAATGAAATTAATAATAACTTCGACGATTAAAAAGTGATTCAGGATTGATTGAAGAAGCCATGAGTAAAGATTGTTTGTAACGTAATGTGAATTCGCGTTATATATACGTATATATATCGAAACAATCTCGAATGACTATTATCTATTGATCAAATCTATCAGTACATGTAATATATGCTATAATTGATAAGTAATTGATGGTTGATAGCTCAATTAACAAGCAATATTCATAGTCAAACAATTCAGCGACTGATATTTGAACAATTAAAGAAAATCAGAGGGTGGATGCGGTTGTCAGAGATGCCTGTAATCACACCCACACCCTCAAGATTCGAATCTGATTTTCTGATGCGGATACGTTTCTGTAGAGTGTTTACTGTGGTGATTAGCTTTGATTGCCAAGGTGGTCGGTTTTTTATGTTTCTGCTTATTATACTCTTCAATGAAGCTATAAGGTAGCTGTAAAAGAAAGCTTCTTCTATATAAAATGAGATCTGTTAATAAAATTCGAACACTTCGTTTTTATTTGTCGCATTAGTCGTTTTAATATCAATGCCGGATTTTGTTAGTTCAAGTTCCTAGTATCCAATCGGTAACCTACTATCGGAGATCAACGGTTCAAGTGAAAAGGGTCAGATCGCATCTGTAATCCTACCGAATCCAATGTGATTCCGTCAGCAGAAATCCGATAAAAAATACAGGAATCTGAGGATAGAACTGTTGAACGTGGGTAGTGTTTGGTCTCATGTCCATATATTTTATTTATCCATCCTTGTTATATTGTGTTTATATATCCTCCATATATTTAGTTTATCTATTCTTTATGTATATATTATGTTATCCTTCATGTTTCTTGCGTTCAGACCTTGTGTATGCACACTGTCTATTGTTGTGTATGGAGAAGGACAGTCGATACACATAAAAAGACGAGCAAAGAACGCAAGAGACAGTTAGAAATTAGTATCATTATATAGTGTATTTAGTTTATTGTACGACGTTTGAAAACGATATCCTATTTAAATAAAGATTGTTACCATCGTTATCATCTTACGACCATCGTATTAATCATTTAAAATTAACAAGCAGATGATTATCAATCTCTGAATTCATAGTCAATTTATTTTTTCTATTCAATATTATAAAGAAAAAAAACTTCATCAATATGATGTGTTGTTCGTCTGCTAAAGCACGTGAACAAAAACAAAGAAATCGAGAAATTGAAAAGCAATTACTTCATGATAAAAAAAGTCGACGACGAGAATTAATATTACTGTTATCTGGTACAAAACTTCGATTTGTTATTTTGTTACAGACTAGATCAAACGTTTTTTTCTCAAATAGGTACCGAAGGATCTGGTAAATCAACACTTATAAAACAAATGCGTATTATTTATGGTACAGGTTATTCCGAAGAAGATAAACGTTCATTTGTTAAATTTGTTTATCAAAATATATTCATGGCAATGCAATCAATGATTCGTGCTATGGATACGCTCGAAATACAATATAGCGATAAAAGAAATGAGGTTACATCTATTTTAACTATTCTCATTTATTTTGTTTTTGTTATTTATTTTAGCAAAAACTTGCTGCACTTGTCCGTTCAGTTGATTATAAAACTGTGACAATATTAGAACCTCAATATGTTGAAGTAATTAAAAGTCTTTGGAATGATCCAGGAATAAAAGAGTGCTATGATAGACGAAGAGAATATCAATTAATAGGTTCAGCTAAATAGTAAAAAACAATTTTTCTAATAAAATAAATAAATAAATAATTCTTCATGTTAAGCTATTTAGATAGCATCGATCGAATTGCTGCGCCAGATTATTTATTAACTGAACAAGATATAGTATGTGCTCAAATCCTTACTAATGGAGTTACTGAATATTCATTTGATTTTGAAAATATTACTTTCCGGTAAATAAATAATATATTTTTAATATAAGATACATTTATTTATTAAAATAGAATTATTAATTCTGGTGGACAAAGATCAGAACGTCGAAAGTGGATTCATTACTTTGATAATGCCTTTGCGATAATATTTCTTGCTGCATTAGATGAATATGATCACGTTCTTGCTGAGTCTGACAATGAAGTAAATAAAAAAATGTTTTGTTTTTAAATAAAAAACTAAAATTTAGAATCGAATGGAAGAGAGTATAGCATTATTTCGTACAATTATAACTAATCAACGTTTTATGAATTTATCTATGATCCTTATGTTGAACAAAACAGATTTATTTAAAGAAAAAATCATGCATTCGCATTTGGTCGATTACTTTCCAGAATTTCATGGTAAAATTGGATAATTTAATAATTAAAAAAAATTGAATTTTCTATTCTAGGTCCTAAATGTGATGCATACGCTGCACGAGAATTTATCCTTAAAATGTATGTCGATCTCAATCCAAATAGTGATCAGATTATCTATTCACATTTTACCTGTGCAAATAGTAAATACAAAAACAAATTCTTTTTTTTTCTAATGAAATTTTAAATATTTAGATGTTGATGGTAATAGTATCCAATTTTTAATTACTTCTGTTAAAGATATGATACTTCAATCAAATCTAAAAGAATATTCTCGCAATTAGGAAGAATCATATGGAATAAAATGTGGTTATATGTACATGTGTATCAGAGTCATAAAGCATGGGTTTATAAAAGGCTAATGTTGAGGGTGTGGATGTGAATGTGATATAAATGTGATGACTATACCCGCACCCACACCCACACTTATTCTTAATAAATAATAAATAAACATATTCTAATAATTTATCTTCACTTCTAATCCTTTGGAAACAGCATTATTTTTTAATCAAAAAATAGTATCAATATTTATAATCCAGTCCAGTCACAATAATGAGATTCAAACTATATTTTTGAAAGTCATTGTGGACATTTCTGGTATCCATCAATGCAATTAGAGATGGGATTGGGTTTCAGAAGTTCATAATTCTACTAGAATTATTCTAGTAAATATTAGTTATATGAAATGATTCAAAATGCTAATCTCGGATCTTTCGTACGGGCTAAATGAAAAAACGATATGTGCGCTATCTATACATGAGCCTTTATGATGGTATCATCGTTCGTTGGGACTCATTTTTTATTAAAAAAGACACATCATAGATACTGAATTATATTTTATCACTATAGTATTGTTTTCCTCCTGCGTTCACTCTCATTTTAGATGTCACCATCATGTCTTTCATTGGTACTTTTCACCATGCTTCATTTAATTCGATGACGTGCTAGACATCCAAATCTAAAATTTAAATATTTTTCTTTTCGGATTAACATCATAATAAAGGACAATGCCAGTGGTAGATAATTTTGTTTTGAACCATTATTAAAATCTATTTCTATGAAATATTTATTTAGAAAGACGAAGATCAACCCATATTAAATTCCATTGAAAGATTTTTACACCATATTGTTCCTACTGTTGATGCTCTTGTTCCAATGACAGCAGTTGCACCGATTGTCATTCTGACGAGGTAATCTCACCAACTGTAGTCGATCGTTATCCATTGAGGTTAGTGTGAATTGATAATTATTAATCAAGGAAAAATCAATTGAAGATCATTTTTTTAGGGATATATATTCACACTCACATTCTACACTCCAGCCACCCACCCTCAAGATGCCATACATGAATATTCACATGAAGATATTTATTGAGAATCTATAAGTTACAACTCAAAGAAGTTTGAAATAAATATAATTTTATGTAAAAACATCAACACTATATCGATCAAGTGAAATTTCTTCAAGAATTTCTCTTGCTTCATCTTCATTACGTTGTTCAATTTCCGCAATAATTTTGATAAGACATGTTTTCACTGATGTACCTAAGTTTTTACCACTACCACATGTATAAAATCGTGCACCATTGAAATACAAGTTAGCAATCTCATTTCGATCTTCCCAAAGTAAATCTTGAACATATTTGTTACCATCATTGTTTTCACGAGAGAAAACAGATTTGACTTGTATTTTAGGAAGTTGCGACCATATATTCAATTCATCTAAATACAAAAAATCTTCATTTGTTCGTCCAACTTCCGTTCCACATGATAATTGAACTGCGCTTTCTTGAATAAATTCACGAAATGGTGCAATTCCAGTTCTAGCAGCTGTCATAACAATAGGTATTGTTGTATCTTCAGGTGGATGAAATTTAACATTACTTGCTCGAACACTACAACTAATATGATCACCTTCGTTGAGAGTTGCAAGATAATTCGATGCAATACCATAACATTGTCCAACTCCATTTAATGATGGTCTGAGTACATCAAATGCTATTGTTACAACTTCAGAATTCCATAAAGATGATGAAGAAATGCTATATTGACGAACACGAAGTGATGGAAGCATTTGAAGATATTGTGCAAATGAAAGTTTGCATGATGGATATAATTCAAGAATATCCAAAATATTTATTCGTTTATCCAGAATTTCGTTTTCATATTCATCTCCAGCAAGATTTGTAAGACTTATTCCTTCTATTCCATTTTGACATAATCCGGCAAGAATTTCAATTGGCTTTTTACTGATTGGTTGAGTTAATTGAACATAACCACTTAATATATCAAATGCACTAACTGGATAATTTGTTGGAAAGAATGTATTTGTAGAAGAAGTAATTTCAATACGGGTAATACTAGATAAATGAAATCGTCTAAGAACTCGAGAAACAATTTCAATTGGATGTATGGGTAATACAGCAAGATAATCTCCGGTACGATAAGTTTCTCCTCTCGGTAATTGAATTTCCAAATGTCGTTTCATAGGTCCATTTTCATTTGTTTCAACTAAAATTTTATTTTGTAAAACAATTCCAGAATCTGTTATTTGTCCAAGATGTCTGTTTGAATTGACAATTTCAACTGAAAGTTTTTCATTAGTAAATACATTTTGATTGCCAATATTTATTCGTAATGTTCGAAACAGATTTTCTTTCCAAATTTCAAATGCACCAAAAAAATCACCTGCAGCATCACCAACGCCACGCTCAATAATTCGTGTACTACCTATCTTTTCAATCATCTGATCAATATAAGTTGGAATTTTTTGATATGTATCAACCCAATCTTGAGGGTGTGGGTGTGGATAGTGTATTCACCTAGCACCCACATTCTCGATCAATTATTAAGAGAGACTTTTATCTAATTGATCGCTACTCAATGTATCATTCTCTCTTATAAACGGATGCAGTTTATATATACGAATATACATATAAACAGGATGGGAAAATTCAAAGATAATGTGGAAAAAACAGGAGAAAGAAAAGTATTTGAACGAGTCAGCGTTTGGAAAACATCTTAGATGAAAAGGAAAAAAACAATATATGTATGTGAAGATCGTGCATAATTCATCTATACGATACAATCAAAAGAAAGAAAAAAAGCGAATCCAATACAGACGAATGATACGGCGATACCTGGATTTATATTGCTCCGTATACATACGATTTATTGTAAATTTAAATAAATTATTGCTCATTCATTATTATTGTTGCCCATTGAAATATAAATCGATCTTAATAGACAATAGGTTTCAAAGAAATCTGATCACTGAATTCTTACTGCTTTACTTCCCCTACGTAATATTTTTAAGAAAGTGATTATATTGTTAGAAAGCCTAGAAAATTTAGTATACAAAACCGTATTACAAAATTTTATTCCTTCGCCATTTGAAGAAATAACAGCTAAACACCTATGTTTCATGGAATCTATAAAAATCAATTAGAAAAACTGAGTCGTTTTTTTTTCGATTTCCTTGCTCATAAGGATGTGGGTATGGGTGGATGTATTCTATTTTGTACACGTCTTCACACATCCACACCCACATCTCCTCAAGATGCTAGAGAAAGGAGATGCAAACCATAGCCATTCATTATAATCAATCGGTTACATTTTGTATGTCTTTACTTTTCAAACATATTTAAAATAATTCCAAGCGATACATTTTCTTAAGAAAATAATGTCTAAATAGACAAATATTATAAAAGATATTCTAGAGGCACTTGTTGAACAGAACACATTCGAGTATATGGACTTATCTTTATTGAAATAGCATAAAGAATATAGAAATGAAGCAAAAAAAAACGCCGTTTTGTTAACGAAAATGGTCTTTCACTTTAGTATGAAAACTAATTAAAATCAAAAAAAAATATACTACTATAAGATAATATATGTCAGGAATCCTAAAGAAATAAACAAATTTAAAAAAAAAGTATAACTAGCAATAAAATCCATCGCAGTTTATGCAACATCATAGATGCTAATGTTAGTTATTTGTATCGAGATATTGATTTTAGCATATAAGATTTAATTTTCTATTAAATTCTTTGCGATATTAATATTTACCACGTAGAATAAAATGACTAAACATTAATCAAACTCAATACATCAATATAAATACTTGTTCAATAAATAATACACAATACCAAATTCAATATCACCATTAACATTAATGCACGTATCGATATTTTCGGTGCAGTTAAATTTGATGAGACGGTAGTTATTGATGTTCCATTTAATCGCATTGAAGTGGATGAAATCATATTCATTACAGTTGTGTTCAAGGACATCGAACTGGGTGAAACCATAGTCGAAGCTGCTGCCGTTGTAACTGCGTTTGTCAAACCTGCAGCGGCTGTCGAAGCCGCAATGATTGTAGACAAACTTATGCCTGGTATGGGAGATAAAATCACACTTAGTAGAGTTGTACTGGGTGAAAGTGTCGTTACTGGAGTTGTATTTGACGGAGCTTTAGTCGTTGCATTTGCCAAAAGTACTGGATTAGCGGGATCAGTGCAAGAGTAACCGTCTGGACATGGATAGCATTCATATCCTCCAGCAAGTGCATTTGCTGTACCGGTGGGACATGTTAGACAAGTTGAAACTGAAGTGGCACCTTCATTTGGTTGATAAGTTCCTGCTCGGCATTGTGTGCATGCAGTTGATCCAGCTGTGTCACTATATGATCCATGAGCGCATTTTAGACAAGCTGCCGCCCCAAGTGATGAACTGGCAGTACCGGTGGGACATGGTAAACAAGATTGAACTGAAGTAGCACCTTCATTTGGTGAATATGTTCCTCTTCCACATGATATACATGCCGTTGCTCCTATTTTATCACTATAACTTCCAGCAACGCATTTCGGACAGATCGAGACTGCAGTATTTCCATTGGCGGTACCAATAGGACATGATAAACAAGCCTGAACGGTGGAGCTACCTGCGCTAGGATTATATGTACCACTTGAACACGCTGTTCGAACAGTAGTACCAGATGTATAAAAGGCACAATAGTATCCAACAGTACATGTAGCACAATTGGTAGAACTCGTACTAGGAAGGTATGTTCCCGGATCACAAAGTTCAGTGAAACTCGCTGATAATAATATGTACAATATTGTACTATACATGAACGAAATAATATTTGATATTTTCATTTTCAAATAATATATCTAGAATGTACAATAAGATAAACATTAAATATATATATGTTAAGTAATTTTATGTATGGAAGTCAGCAGATTTTGCAGATCATAATTGGTATATTCTTAAAAATATTAAATAAACACGCAACAAGTAATATCATAAATATGGGATATAAAAGTTTAATTGATTTATGCAACATACAATACGCAACAAAATAAATGAATGAATCAATCGCAATTTTCAAGGCTATGAGATAGGCAATTATTATATGAAAATCGGTTTTCACCCATGCCCACGTTATATTGATAGAGAAAAAAAATAATATACGCATAAATAGGTGAAGACTGTCGATGTGTCACAATGATAGAAGCAAAACCATTTTATTCTTTCGTTTTCTAATATATATTTATAGTCAGTTTTACTCGTTATATTACCATAATGAGTGCAGTTTGTTTTTTTGTTTTTATTATTAATCAGAGATATGAGCCAGCAATTGATTTGCTCGTCCAATCGATATTTATTTTTATAACATCAGAAAATAATATTTTTTTTTCTACTCAAAAATAATATTTTTTTTTCTACTCAAAAATACATCCATTTTTTTCTCTAAAGAAAAAGGATGTATGTCAATATGCAATAAGAATAAAAACAGATATTTTTGTTTTCAAGCGTTTATTATTCCAATTAAATCATAAATAATATTGTTCAACGTACAAATTAAATCTAAAAAACTAAGAATAATATAGTTATGATAAATGAGTATTTATTTCATTCATAACCGACTTTCATCATTAGACACGTGATGTTTATTTATTTTCTTCGTAGTTGTTTCTATTTCATGAACTGCTGCTAAGATTATTCCATGATTGGATATATTTCAAAGGAACTAGCGCGAAAAACTCATCTGTAGAAAGAAAATTTTAGACGATGAACGGCTAAGGGGGTATAGATGAATTTTTCATGACAAATATTTTATGATAAAAAATAGAGTTTGCAGTATATTTTTTCATGCTGATGCTGAATATTGTACTTATTTTCAATAACAATCAACGTTTGTCAATGAAATGTTGAAATACTACAGATTTATTTAATTTTTGATAATATAATCCAAGCAATTCATGTTTTTGAACATCGACTACGATTGTCAGACTTAGAAATACACCCATATCCTCAAGAATAATCTCAATCATTTATATATATTTACAAATTTGTATTTATTATTCTATTGTGAAATTAAAATAGATACACAATGACAAACTTAAAACGATAATGCAACGCATAATGATAAGTAGTCACAGCAGTTGAAAACATAAAAAGCGATGAAGTTCAGAACTGAGACGGTAGATAAAGTCTAAAACATCGGAATTTGTCAATAATCTTCAATTAACGACATAATATTCGACTGGAGAACATTTATAGTCTTGTTCTATAATCAATAGAGAATCGTGACTTTACGTTAATTTTATGTGAAAATTTGCTTAAAAAATTGATGGGTGTGAGTGCGTTTGTTTAATGTCTGATTAGTGAAAGAGACATGTAAGTTGATATGTTGAATTTCTGACCATACGAATATTGATGATATTACTATTATCTACAAAAACAAAAAGAAAATACATCTCCAAATATAATATAATACTACAATAGAAACTAAGCATTTCATCGAGAAAATATACTTTTTTAAGGCTAAGTTCAGGAAATGGATGTAAAATAATCAAATATTCTTTAGTATTATAAACGAGAACAAATATATACAAGTAACGGTCATCCGTCGAATTCGCTGATCCTTTTCTTAAAGAGATGAAATAAATAACGCTCGTCGAAGGAACTCACTTGATTCTCGATTGATTTTAACCTAATTACTAGAAGGTACTACTTATTAGATTGTACCTTCTGCTGTATCATAACCTATATATTCGCAAAGACAAAACAGATTTTTTATATTTGAAATCCGTCTTTTTTTGCCGAAGATTAGGTTTTTACAGTCGTCACTAAAGTTTTCATTGGTATTAAACTCATCTGACAGTAGTTGGTTGACATGCCTATGGTCCCTCACTACCAACTGCTTCAAGTTATATAGAAGATCTGTTAATCAACGTGACACTTGTTGTTTTTATTAACTGATTTCTTTTAATCCATCTGATATTCTTGCTAAAGTGATACTTAAATTCCAAATATTGGATTCGATTACTCTCTTTAGTGAGCTCAACAACACAGTATGTAACAGAGATGGATACAGTTCAGGTTTTTTAAAGTTTGAACTGGACTTAAACGGAGAGGAATTTAATAAACGCTAAGTCAAATCGAATCGGGTGGGATGGCGTGTAGGCGAGGATCGGCGTGTGGGTGATGCGTTGAGACTCTTTTATAGTACAGCTCCATCGCATAGTATACTGTAGTACATCCGTGTGAGCCACAAATACATAGTTTGATGAAGTGTAATGCTTAAATTATTGGTATAAAATCTGCGATAGATATGCCTTAGTTTGGTAGAAAAAATAGTTAATATATACCCCTTATAGATTAAGCAAACCAAACTTTTTAAAAAATGGTATTTATAGATACCATTGGGAAGCAAAGGGTTAATTTGCACAAAAAAGTCAAAGTTTCTCGATAGATTTGAGGTATAAATTTTTGGTGTTTTGAATTGATTGAACAATAATTATTAAATACAATGATACTTTAGGTATTCGAATGAGTCCATCTTGATACGTTGTTTATCTTGAATAAAGATTATTTTTATAACTTTTCGATTTTTTATCAATCGTATATGAAAAAAATAAACTATAAAAGTTTTGTGTTTAAACTCTATTAACAGATAGATCTCATTCTAATGTTGTTTTTAGTAAATATGGAACAATTTACCTATTTTATGGAATATTATTCAGCCTTCAATACTTACTTAAGATGAAAAAAGAGATTTGAACTAGAATTGCATAAAATGATTAAAATTCTACATTGTTTATTGATCGATAGAAGAAGTATGATAATTCATATAGGTACAGTTCTCAAAAGTCAGGTTTAGGTTATAATACTACATATTGTATCAGAGCACACAAACTATCCATATCGTATACAAATGAAAGAAAACGTAGAGATACGTTCACATAGACAATGACAAGATCGCTAATTACTGATGTTAAAAATATAATGTCGACATGGATCTGAACCCAATGAACGGCGTATAAACACATACTGCCATTAAATAATGATGAGCTAAAACACTCTTTTCATCATTTGTATTCTTTTAACAATCGCGTCTCATTTATTAATTTACTAGGATACTTTTGAATGAATATCGATACAACTCTATCCCATACATTTAACAGAAGAATATCGATATAAGATTTGAATGTAATTGAGTTTATTTTTGTTTTTTATCATAAACTATTCGTTGTCAGTACATGATGTCAATGAATTCTTTGTTTTTACTATGTAGAAGAATAATATTCTAGAAGAAACAAACAAAATTTTCAAACATAGTTTTGACTACCACCAAACCAAGAAGAAGAGAAAGAAACGTTAATTGATTTTTGAAGATCTTAAGATCAGTGGGTGAGAATTTGGCTTAGAATTGATAATTGATCATTTTACAAATCGTTTTAATTTCAAGAACACATTTTGATGTATATCAATTAATTATATTATTGTATACAACTTTTCACAACACAACGACAAATGATAGAAACGCACATCAATTATGTAAAGCAGGCTTATATAGTTATAGTTAAAATAATTAGTTTATAAAAGATTATTGAAGAACGAATCGTTGCACCCTGTTATTATTATAGTCGGAAATATATAAATATGTTTCAGTAGGATCAAGTGCCACATCACCTGGATACGAAAGAAGTGTATTGGTTTTACCCGCAACACCACTTGCACTGCCGGCTACCACCGATCCTTGTGTGTCTCCAATATTCCATCGCATAACACGATTATTGTTAGTATCAGCAATATAAAGAGTTTGACCATTGCGTGTGACCCAAACACCTGAAGCACCATTCAACTGGTTAAGATTCAATCCCGGTCCATTTCCACCTGCCACTGTTATTCCTGTTCCGTTGCCGCCTATCATAAATTTTTGAATGCGATTGTTATCAGTGTCGGCGACGTATAAGGCTCCTCGAACTTCGTCTAAATGCATAAATCGAGGCCAATTTAATCCATTACTACCTGTGCCAATATGTCCTGGATTTCCAGCAACAAGGATACCAGTCGTACTATTTGGTACCCATTTTACGATCATATAGCAACGAGCCGGTGCTGCGTAAATATTGCCGAATTGATCAACAACTACACCAATAACTTGATATAATCCTGTTAGAGAACAGGATGAGCCTGATTGACCTATTGGTGGAAAGCTTGTAAGATTCATTCCTGGTCGTCGAATGTACATTATACCTTGACCAATGTAGTATTCAGACATATATATATTATGTGAACTGTCAACAAATATATCCTCAGGCGAATCGAGTCCGTTAGAGAGAATCGTAGATCCAATACGTGAGAATGGTAAAAATGATTGAAATCGAGGCAAATCAAAATTGGTTACATATAGGATTCCATCGAATGGTGAAACATAGATACCCCAAGGACCCATTACACCAAGTGCACCTGCATCTGTACTGCCATTGCAAAAACCAGCAACTGTCAAACCAATACCTGCGGTTGGAACTACAATTATAAAGAAAGATTTAAAAATTACTCTTATTGTTAGTTTCGAATAGAACTGTCTATTAGAAGTATAGCTAAAAATGACTTACGAACTGAGCATCGATAAGTAAAATCACAACTTGGTTGACATGAAAGATTAAGATCCGTTCGACAAGCATCTGCATGTGAACATAACTGACCTTGAAATAATTGTGTCATACACATTCCATTATTCCAATATGTAAATGGTGGACATTGACAAGTTGAAGTATTTACATTACATATTTCATAACGACTTTGATCACAATGACTACATGACTGATTGTGAATGTTAACATAATTATTGGGAGATATTTGAACTGAACCAACAGATGATCGTGGTTTTGATGGTGAAGCAACAATTGAACCCGTTGTGTTATCCATTTCCCATAAACGACATTGTAAAGAATCAGCATCAAAATCAAATGTTCGACAAGTGATACGCTTGTGACATTCAGCAGAACAATATAAAGACCTTTTTGTCGTATATGTAAATAGTGGAGGGCGAGAAGTATCTATAGGAATGAATTGATATCCTAAAGCACTGATTTTTGTTTTCGATTGATCTTGTATAGTTAGATGAAAAGATAATAAGAAACCAAAAATAAGAAAGAATCGCATCTGTCGTACAGAATTCATGATGAAATAAAAAAAACTATTTGAAAAAATATCATATGACTTTGTATATAAACTATGGAAAAATAATTAATATTTGATAGCTAAATGATTTTTGTAGAATCTAATCGACTATTTTAATTACTTTACTTGCACAAAACACCGACGTCTCTTAGAAAAGAGCATTAGATTTTGAGAGAATACAAAGTGAAAAACATAATTGTTTTTTTTTCTTTTTCAGGAACATGTACGTCATAGTTAAAATTAAAAATCGACCCAATTTAAAATTCTACTTTTCATCAGATTATTTTTGGATAAAGTTTAAGTAAATAAAGAAATGTATATTTCAAATTATCGTTTTTAGTTTATATTGATTCTCTCTAGATTTTACAATTTCATTTTTATCAAACAAATTATAGCTTCTATTATTTTTAAAATTAATTTCCTGATAACTTTCCAAGATCGTTATTTAAAATGACATTCAGTGGAGCAGAAAGTCTTCAACTCTGAAATGAGTAACATTTAATAGTGCATTTTTTTACAGTCACATGTGTTCTCTTCTTCATTAATTTACACCCACATCCTCAACATAAACAGAGAAATACCTTAAGAATTGGAAAAAGTAATAACAATAACTCATAAAAATCCTCAGATGAAAAGTTCAACATAATGTACTAATATTTTCCGATGAGTCTTATAAAATCACAGGACAAACAGGAATATAGTTTTGAAGAGAATGGAAACTAAAATATTTTGATAAAAAATTGTACGTAAATTTTATAAAATGGAATTGGACATTAAAAAAGTTTTCTCGCTATTATTTTTACTTCCTATAAATACTCCAATTATATCATGTGAATAACATAATTTATTACTGTTATTCAACTTTGTTTTTTTGTTTTTCCTATCTTTTTCTAATTATAATATACGTAGTCTTTCAGAATCATTGATGCATGTACATTCTTATAATTTGATGAAAATAATAAATGTATTTTGTTATTATTTGACTAAATACAAGAGAAACCTATGCAAACAAGTAACATGATCGATAGACTAGAGTATATTGGATCCTATTATAATCCTAGAAAATTTCATGAATTTAGTTTTTCATGGCCACTAGTTGACGTTTAACCATCTTGAGGGTGTGAGTGCTTTTGTTGAATTTCTGACCATACGAATATTGATGATATTACTATAATCTACAAAAAAAAAAGAAAATACATCTTCAAATATAATATAATACTACAATAGAAACTAAATATTTCATCTAGATAATATACTTTTTTTTAAGGCTAAGTTGGGAAAATGGATATGAAATAATCAAATATTCCGTCCTATTACAAACAAGAACAAATATATATAAAGTTGTAAATCATATGTTAATTTCAAATTTCCACTGTTACCAGATAACTCAATGTAATTCAGTGATTGATTACCATACTTTTGTAACCATTTGAGTTCTTCTCGAACTTTTATTTTCCCATGCCAAGGATTACTAGTCAAGGAGTGGCCTTGTTTTGGAAAAGTAATTAATTTAACTGGTATACCAAGATAATTAAGTCTTCGTTCAAATATATAACTCTGACTTGTAGGAACTCGAATATCATTTTCACCAGTGACGATGTGTGTCGGTGTACGTACTCTATCTAACTGATAAATAGGTGTTTCATTTTGATAAATATATGGTACTTCCCATGGAAATCCTCCAAATAAATAATGTAGTAATACAGGCATATCAGTCATACCCCACATTGAAGTATAATCTATAGTACCAGCACCTGACAGAGCGGCATTAAAGCGTTTCGTTTGTGTAATCAACCAATTTGTTAAAAAACCACCATAACTATGCCCACCAATAGTAAGTCTGTATTGATCAACAATTCCATCTTGAATCAATTGATCGATTCCATAAAGTATATCTTTTCCTGGTCGAGATACAGGTTTATAACGAATTTCATTAAGAAATTCATCACCATAACCTGTTGATCCTCGATAGTTCGGTTCTAATACTAACCAACCTTCTGAAGCTGCCAATGAACTCCATTGATACCATGCAAAATCAAGTTTATTTAAACTAGCTGAATATGGACCACCATGTATCATCACTAACAAAGGTAAATTTTTAGATTCAAATTTTCCAGGTGGATAATGTAGTATTCCTTCAATTGTTTGATGATCATCTTTATTTATCCAACTGTACACTTTTGTTTAAGGTAAATTTCTTTGAGTAAATAAATTATTTTCATTAGTTATTACTTGTGCTAATTCCAATTGATTAATATTATTAATGAAATAAACTTCCATTGGTTTTTCGAACGATGAATAAACAAATGCAATTGATTCATTATCATGAGATAATATAATCGATTCGTATGTTCCATTCCATCCATTATGTTGAATTAAATCTTTCATTGGTAAATGTTGCGTATAAATTTGTACTTCTGTTCCTAATTGTCCAAGTATATAAATACTAGAATCATGTTTGAATGCATGTCCATTAATATTACCATGGAAATTTTCTGCTAAACGTGTTATTTGTCCATTGATTAAATTTAATGAATGAAGACGAAATTGTGTATTATTCAGTTTTCCTTTATTCGAATTAAGAGATAATGTTCGAAATAGGACATGTTTACCGTCGATCGATAACTGTAATTCAAATTCAATTGCTTCATTATTTGTCAATTTAGATAATGCAGATGTATTTCGTAGATCAATCGAATAGATTTCGAAACTATCTGGATTTTCCAGAAGTGTAGCTACGGATGTGAAGATAAGTTTTTCTTCAAATGAAGTATATAATAACTGACCAATGAGAGTAGATACATTTCGAATGATTTGTTTTTCTATAGGTAACGAGAGATCGTTGAAATCGAAATCTATACGATAGATTGTACTACTTTTATGCATTAAATTTTGTCGATATTGATTAACGTCTTTCCATTCATTATTTTTATCAACGATTGACTCCATATTAGTGGTAACGAAGTAAAGTGATGAATCATTGCTAGACCAAGTAAAAGTTGAAGGAACATCTTTTCCGATATTGATAGGTAATAGTTCATCGGATATGAGAGAATATAAATAAATATATTGTTGATCATCAGTCTTGTTTATTGATGAATGGTTGTTTGGAAATAATGCAATAAAATTACCACTTGGTAACCATTGTGGTTTGATTGATTTATGAAGATTTGTTGTAATTATTTTTTTTGTTTGATTTTGTATATCATAAAGCCATAAAGTATTCTCAAAAGAATTCGTGTTCCACGATGAACGTCTTGTTTGAATAAGTAAATGCTGACCAGTTGGAGAAAATGCTAATAGTGGAAATGTAGTATAATCAAAACATTCATCGAAAGTTAATCTTGTTTTATTTTCAGTCGAAACACATGAAAATAATTGCAAAATCAACAGTATATATAATGGCATTACAATGATTACCATGACCTAAACAGAAAAATATGATATAACTCAGTTCAAACGACTAAATAATAAAATTATTCATGATTGGTCTCGAATTTGTACCTTACCAAACAAAAATATATCAACAATAATGGCAAGTAAAAAGTATACAAGCGTTTTATCTATATGAATATATAAACTTTCGATTTAGTATTTTATTGGCACGTATGTAATGTAAATTGACACTCTTGTTTTTTTCAATGTTTTATATTATATTATTGCTTTCACATATTTTGTATTCTAACTATAACAATATATGATTTTTTATTTTATGATATCGAAAGGGAGTAAAATCTTATTCTGAATTTTTTCCAGATTTCAGATGATTTTTATTAAATTAAATTTTATTTATTTGACAGCGGCTTCGTGGCTTATACTTATATATTTTGATGTTGATTTTCTTTTAGTATATTAAAACATGTGTTTTTTGAAATAATAAATGATATAACTGAGAACAGGATCTAGAGAAATTTATTTTAGTCAGTGAAAATTAACTGTTAAAAAACTTTCTGGATTCTCACACTGGAGTTCCGGTTTTCTGACTATGATATCGAAAGATGCCGACAACATATTGGTGTTGTTTATGATTAAAAAAAATTGACTTTTTTCTGTTCTCCTTCCACTGACGTTGATAATCAAAAAAAGCTAAAAACCCGATTTATAAATATCGTCCCTATTAATAAATCTCAACCTGGTTTATAAATATCGACTCTATTTATAAATTCTCACTGTCGCAGACATCGGCGGACCCGTTTTTTAAAGAACTATTATTCCGTTGCTTTCATTTAGAATATTACATAAATACAAAAGATACTTTTTGACAGTGATGTTAAGAACATTTCCGTTAATTTTTTTTAATTATATTAATCTACAGTTTTCTTATTTTTTTGTCACAGCTAAAATAAGAAGACAACACATTTACCTAATGAGAAAAATAAATCCCAGGAATTAATTTAGATGAAAGAATTGTTAATGACAAGTAAAGGGTACTTTCTCAAAAAAAAAAAGATGCTTGACTCGTCTTTCTATGAATAGTTGAAAGAAAAAAAAAACTTCATTTCTTCATCAAATCTACAATATGACAAACGCTAGCTTAACAAATGACAATATTATACTTGATTCTATTGGTATTGCTGTTTGTGTAGTGACTATTTGTAAAACATTTATATTTATTTTTATGATTTTAATTCGTCATCAAATGAAAAAATCAAATGAAAAAATTCTTTTTATTCTTAGTTTTAATATGTATATGAGTATATGTATATTTACTCTGTTTGTACTTGATATGTTTATTTCAATGCTTAAAGGTCATATTTATTCGAATCTATTACAAATATATAATGATACACAATGGTGTCGTATAAAAGCTTATCTAACCAATGTTGCAATGCTTTATACACTTTATTCAAATACTTTTCATGCTTTACATCGTTTTTTTCGAATTATTTATTATACGAATCGTTTTCTTCATCAAAATGTTTATTTATATATTATTGGTATATGTATTCAATTAGTTTTAAGTCTACTTCAACCATTACCACTTCTTCTAGCACATATATATCAATATGAAGATTATCATTGTCAAATTCCTCTAACACAATGGTTTGCAGTAATAATAGGTAGCATAGTTATCTGGATGCCACCCCTTTCTATTACAATAGGCATCTATATGTATACACTGAATTATATACGTAATAACTCACCCATATTTACTCATCGACAACAAACAAGAATCAGACGTGACATAACAGTTATAAGACGTGTTGTATGGTCAGTTCTATTTATAGTTTTATGCGCTATACCTGCATTTAGTATACCAATAATATATTCGTTGTTTAATTTTTTTGGATGGTGGGCTAATCATTTAGCATGGTTAGGATTTGTTTTATCATTTCTTGGTATGAGTATTGTACACACATATTTTTCTCCTCATCTTCGTATTTTATGGGCACGACCAGCAAATCGAATTCATACTACGACAGTTATAACAGTTGCAAATTTACAAATAATTTAGATTTTCTTTCAAATATATTTATTTTATACACTCGGTTTGCCCATTAGTTTATAATTTTGCAAACCTCCACTAGAGGCATGAAAAAAATGTGGAAATTGATTTAAAAAGAACAAGAAGCAGCCCATCATTACATAAATGATAGTCTGTTTTGATTCTATTAATGTTCAGGCATGAACTTGATATTTAAACTATTTCGCATTCTCAACATAGTAAGACAAAGGAACAATAGCAATATTATATTTATTAAAATTCACAGTAATATGAAATTAAAACAAATTCTTAAATGTATATGTATATCGTATAAACTTGAGAATACATAGAGATTGTCACAATATGTGATAAGAAGAAATAAAAGTTATAAACAAATATTAAACAATGATTATAAGTGAAGAATGCGAAGGGAAAAAGCTTTAAAAAGATATCAATCGATCACAATCAACAATACACTACTTTGAGTGTGAGTGCGGATAATGGTGAATAGGGGTATGAGGATATTTGTGGTGGGGATGAACAGGGGGAGTATGAGCGTGATGTGGGTGAGTATGTATAGGTTTGGATAAGCGATGTTTATGCACTCGACAGTGTTCTGTACATTCGTCAGTCTCACACCCATACCCAGCCTCATAATAAATTGATTCAGCAGACGCTGAATGCTCTTTTATTCGATCAATTAATTCTTTCGTTTTTATTTGAATACCTTCTTCTGAATCATCTTTGAAATGAACATATAAGAGTTTTGCTGTTATTAATCCTAGCCAATTAGACGGTCTCCAATTTTTTTCCTCATCAATTAAACATGCAATAATTCGTTTATGTTGTTTTTCTGCATATGTTAATTCCAGTTGACAATTTTCCGATTCTTGATATTCTGGTGTCATGAAACAACATACGATTGCAGCATTTTCTACTCCTTCTGCCATGCTAAAGAGAAAAACAATGAAATTAAAATGATAAATAGAATGTTTTGAGGAACATGAGGTTTCTTGCTGCAGTTCATACCTCTTGTAAATATCATCTTTCATGCCTCCTTGTACATCAAACCAAACTGGAATGTTTTCAGCTTTTAGAATATCATATACTCTAGAAACGATTTTTTGACTTTTCCAATTATAAGACAGCATGACATGTTTTCCATCACTAAGAGCCATAGATATCGTTGTAATTTTTGTAGTCGAATAAAGTAGATATTTGGTGCGAAAGAGCTGAAAATGAAAACATTTGTGAAGATTTTTCTAACTACATTCAAATACATGTTCACTCGTTGTCATTACTCATCATTATATTTTAATCTCAGTCTTGAACTTACGCACTATATAATCACACTCTCTCAATATATTATTTGAAAGTAATAAATTAATTTTAGTCAACGTTGAATGAAATAGTATTATTCTAACCAGGAAAAAACCCAGCGAAACAACGAATATATTGTATCAGAATATTTACTCACTGAATAATTAAATGCAAGCGAGATTGTGCAACTGATGTAGGTTAAAAGAAAAATAAAAACACGAGGAAAAACAGCGTAGCAAAGGATGCAAAATAAAAGTCGATAGTTCATGCCGGCTTCTTTTCCTCTTTCTTTTAAACATTTTTTTTGTTTTGTTCTCTACAAAAAAAATAACTATTAGATCTTGTTTTGGCTTGAGAAACAGAATAAAAAAAAAATACTAGAAGAGTTTGATAGGAAGAGAAAGAGAAAAAAAGAAGCTATGAATAACAAAAACAAATTAAATGACTCATGAATATAAAAATAAACAAATATTTTAAAATAAGAATTTTTATGAATATGCGTCATTTATCACAAAGTGCATTGCATTAAACGGGAAAGTTCTAATGACTAGATAGAATTTTTTTCGATTTAGGCTCCGCTTGAGGGTGGATGTGGGTGTAGGTGTTGCTAAGAGTTTCGGTGTGAATCCTTGTCATCTATAAATGACGCCACCCACACTCTTCAAACTTCAATATTTTGTTATCAGAAATCTTATCTTCTACTGGCATTTTATGATTAGTATAATTAATTTGAAAAATATTTCAAAATGAAGTATTTCAGTTAAAATACTCATTTGAATAGAAAGGATTCTATTATATCGGAATATTCGATTTCGTAAAATGTGTTTTAGAAATTTTAAAAATTAGTACAACCATCAACATATATAAACTTCGTAGTTAAGTAACTTTTCCAGTATTATCCAACGTTAGATAGAAAAAAAGATTAATGATACGCTATGAATGTCAAATCTAGGGTGTGGATGTGAGTTAGACTACTATTCCAGTCATTTACAATAAAGAACACCATAAAACGAAGTTTTTTTCTTGGTTTCTTTCATTTCTGTTTTACCTGTGATAACGTACTTCTACTTTCTTTTTTTTATTTATCATCAATGTCGTTATCTATTTTATGCTTTTCTTTTCTGTTTCTTTAACAAACGAGACTGATAAGAACATTATTTAATTTGGAAACAAAATAAAGTGAGTAGGGTAAAGGTAACAGTTATTCTCTTGTATAAACTCCTCATGTTGGAAGTTCTGGAAGAAGAAGTTCATGGTGACAGCCCTCCTGCTACAGTTAATATTACAACAACAACACCAAACACAGTCATCTCTTCTCTAGTGCACTTCGCGCATTCGAAAGTAAAATTTTAAACAACTCAAAGAGGGTAGATGTGGGTGTGGGTGAAGGTATTATATTTCTCTTTTGTTCATGCCATTACTCACACCCATACCCTAATAATACGAATTAAAAATGTATTTTAGATTTCTAAGAAAACTTCTACAATCTAAATTGTTCTATCTTCTTGATTAACATGGCTAGTGCTAGTTCATCAACTGATGTCTCTGACACTAAATCTGAAGAAATGCATCTTGAAATTTTTTGTCTACTGTGGCTCGATGCTAGTTCAAGTACCAAAGAAGGACGCGATACTGAACCAAAATTACGTTCTATCATTAATCATCTCAAGAAATTTCAAGATGCAGCTCAATGCCAAAAATATATTCATGAGCGATCAACAAAAGAACGAGTAGTCATGATTGTTAGTGGAAGATTAGGAAGAGAAATCGTTCCTTCTATTCATCAGCTTAGACAAGTTATATCGATTTATGTATATTGTATGGATAAAGCAGGTAACGAAAAATGGGCTCGCAACTACAAAAAAGTAAAACTAAATTAAATCTTTTAGATTTCATTATATGGTTTATTTTTTTATTGATAGATAAAAGCTGTTGTGACTGATCTTGATGAACTTGTTTCTCGAATCAAAGCCGATCATAAAATTCAAAAGATGGTTGAAGAACCATTATCAATTAATATTTTTACTGCTGGCGGTGGCGCAGGTAGCTCAACAACAGGTTTAAATGGTAAATTTGTTTTTTCACAAGTTCTTACTGATCTTCTTATCCAACTACAATGCACTGAAGATGATAAAAAAGAACTTATTGATCTTTGTAAAAAACAATATAAAGGTAATAATTACGAATTGAGTAATATTCGTGACTTTCAAGAAGAATATTCATCTGACAAAGTTTTATGGTGGTATACACGAGAATCATTCTTTTATAAGACTCTTAATGCGGTTCTTCGTCGTACTCCAGCAGATATTCATACAATATTTCTATTTCGTAAATATATCGCTGATATTCAGAATCAATTAAAGAGTCATCAAACTAAAAAGCGTCTTCGAGTTTATCGAAGTCAAATGATATCAAATAATGAATTGGAAACTTTAAAACAAAATTGTGGTAAATTTATTTCCATCAATTCATTTTTTTCTACTAGTTTTGATGAACAGAAAGCTCTATCATTTCTCAAGGATTCTGATGATACAGAAAATTTAGAAGCCATATTATTTCAAATCGATGCTGATCCTAACATGGCAATTACAAAACCATTTGCGGATATAACTAAATTTAGTGAATTCAAAGATGAAGCTGAAGTTCTCTTTATGCTTGGTTCCATTTTTCGATTGGATAGTGTCAAGCGCAGAAAAAATAGTCAAATATGGATCATTGAAATGACATTGTGTAATGATGAAGAACATGACTTGAAACAAGTTCTTATCGACATGAAAGAGCAATTCATGAGTGAAGGAATTAATCTTCAAACATTAGCAAAAATATTATGGGAAATGAGTGAATTTAACCTGGCTAGAAAATACTTTATGCGTTTGTTAGAACAACTTTCGATCAACGATCCTTTACGTATTGATTTATATCAAGATCTAGGCAAACTTGAAGCAAATGCCGGTGACCTGGACAAGAGTATGGAATGGCGCCGAAAAGCAACTGAATTGAAAAAACAAATTCAATCTACTTCCTCTTCCAGTGTTAGTAAATCAAAGAATCCTGTTGGTAAGTTCATCAATAGAAAATCTAGTATATTGAGATGAGATTTATACAAAAATAACTTAACACTATTTTAACTTTAAGATAAGAGAAGCTCTGACCTATCGACTATCATCTGTTTTAATTGTTATGTCGCTTCTCTGAGGATTGTTTTAGGCATGTTTTAATGATAACACTGACTTTCATACCTCTTTGTCTATATTTTAATAATGTGACAGAAATTTAAAGCGAATCGAAGATCTTCTTGAGCTATAAATAATAGTTACACACTAAATATAAAAATGGCCCAGTAGTTTTAACTCGGTTTGAACAATAAGTTTTCAATAATAACTTAAATATTAGTGTTTTTGGCAAGTTTTAGTTTCTGTTTGTTTCTTGTCGTATAATTTATGTATGAGTTTTGTCTAGTAGTCAGTTTTATGACTCTACCCTGGATACTCGGCAAAGGATGAAAACCTTGTTTTTCCGGGCGCAATCTGAATCGGTATGATTTCGCACTGAAATCTTTCATGTTTGATTTCTATCATATTGTTCTTCTTAGAGACAATGATATCTGAACACCGTCCCTCAAACGCTCTTCTTTTGTGCTGACTTATGACTGGCACAGAAGCCACAGAATTGCAATTTCCATGGTGGAGTTAATGAAATCAGTTTCTTTGTAATAGATCATACTAGTGGGATGAATGAGTTTTTCATGATTCTTTCTCCTAGTGACGATCATAAATTGTGATGGTCATGATCAAAAAACAAAATAAACTCAACAATCTCTAAATGAGATTGAACAATGTTCTTTAATAGTTTCTATTGAATAGATTATTCAATATATAATCGAATAAATTATTTCAATTGAAACAAATTGAAGAATGAAAAAAGAAAAGAAATAAAATAAGAATTGTAATAGGAAAAAGAAGAAAGTTTCATTTATTGAAACTCTAAATGTTTGATAAAAATGAATAATTTTAATTTGATATTAGAAATTTTCAAAAGAAAAATTATTTTTTATCAATATTTTATTTTTTTCAAAGAATTCTATTTTGAATAAAAAACGAATTTTCTCTTGGGGAAAAATTTCAATATGGTTCACTTTTATTGATGAAAAAAAATAAAACTCATAAAAAATATTTAATTTATGATTTATGATAAAATCTTTCTATCGGTTTAATATGATTTTTTATTCTATCTATAAAAGATTTCGAATCAGTTAAAAGTTCATCTAGATATATCTTGAGGATGTGGATGTTAGTTAGGTTTTTACGTTCGTTTATTTCTTGCACACGCATTTACAACCTAAAGATATTTATTATGCTTATTATTTGAAAATATTCTTTTATATAAACATGCTTACAGGTGAAAATATTGATTTACAACAGGATAGACGAGTATGGAATATTTTGCAAGATTTGCAAGATTTTGAAGAGATATCCGTGCCATTTCGAGGATACGCTAAAATGCCACTAGTATCATTGATGGAAGCTGTTACACCACTTATTTCAATTTTACCTAAAATTCAAACTTATGCTCGTATGGCGAAACAGCGATGTGATTCCATACCTCCCGATGATTTAACACAGGATGAATCAGCTTCAATCATGCTGTACTCACTGGAATGGGAACCACATGACGAATGTTTATATTTTAACCTTAATGCAACTCTTCGCACTGAAGACAGGCAAAAATTAAAACCATGGTTCTCGTATCTGAAACTTATTCTTACAGCACTCAAAAAACTACCATCTATACGAGACCTTGTGTTTCGTGGAGTAAATTTGGATCTAAGTAATCAATATACTAAAGGAAAAGAATTTGTCTGGTGGGGATTTTCGTCATGTACAACATCGATAGGGGCAGTCGCAGACGGACAACTTCTAAGCAAAGAAGGTGAAAGAACAATATTTGCTATTCAATGTGATAGTGGCAAAGACATTAGTCGTCATTCGTATTATCAATCAGAAAAAGAAGTTCTTCTTCTGCCTGCTCGACAGTTTATTGTAGTAGCTTGTTCTCAACCGGCACCAGGTCTTCATATGATTCAATTAAAAGAAACTAAGTCTCTAATTTAGAGTCCATCGGATCTGGATCGACAGAAATATGTTATCAACATAATGTTTTTTTGAATTTCTTTAATTTTTTATTCATTTTATTCAAAAATTCTTTAATTTATTTATAAACATAATAGAAAAAACAACAACAAAACGTTCTGTTTATAATATCTGAATCTAATTACCATAATAAATCTATAAATCGAACAATAAATTATCTGATTCTACATCATTGCCTATATCTTCAATATTATCTCAAGAATAATCAAAATCAGTATCTGTTTTTTTGTTTTTTTGAAGGTATAGGTGAAGGTAGGTGACGGATATAATACTCACATCCACGACCACACCCTCTCTAGTTTTAAACCCAGATTAATATATGATTTTTTTAAAACACAAAACAACAAATAACTTATTTAATGCACTTTAGCGCATTCGAATGTAAAATTCTTAACAGTCCAAAGAAGGTGGATGTGAGTGTAGGTGAAGGTGTTAGATTTCTCTTTCGTTCATGTCATCACCCACACCCACACCCTCCAACTATACTTCAAAAGTAGCTCTAACTGTTATTTTCATTCGAATCCGTTAGATGCCATCCAAAATCTGAATGCACTATTCCATAGCTCTCAACGAACTAGAACTGGTTCACATTATCAGATGAATCAAAAAACAACTTCGTCCTTTAGTCGATGAAGATTCGTTTATATTTGTTTGGAATTCGTCGATTTCTTTTCGTTACATAATCATTTTGTGATCGAATCTTTCAACATTAAACTGTCTTTAAAAAGAATCTAAGATCAGAATGCATAAAAAAAATATGAAGAAAAATAAAGAATATTTATTATGAGATATTCCGACTTTATTAACAGTTTGTTTTGGTCGTATTACAAACGTTTATTTCAAGACAACAAACAAATAATGATTTAATGTTTGCACATTCTTTTTCTTTCTGCGTCGATATTTTGTCAAGAATAGAACGAAAACAGATACATAAAATCGTCATATACAGTCACCTTTCATTATACAAATGATGACGAAAATAAAAAAATGGCTTGTGAAGGTTATTTTTAAGAAGAAAAATAAGAAAAGAACAAAAATATCGTAATTATAATTGTTTGTTTTTCTTTTCTTCATATTTAGGTGTGTTTAATGATATATTTTCAAAAGCATTGATAGAAAGAGTATTATTGTTTCATTTCTTATTTTTAAGATATTCCTGGTGTTTGAATCTAACATGAGTCAATGACAAAAAAATTCTTTTTAGATTTCTTTTGAACGAGATGGCAATGGCAAATAATAAAACGCAATGTTTTAAATGTAATAAAGACAAAATAACTTATCCTTGTGAAGGATGTTCACAAAGATTTTGTTTAATACATTTAACAGAACATCAACAAATATTAAATGATGAATTAAATCATCTTATTAATGACTATGATCAATTTAAACAAAGAATTAATGAACAAAAACAAAATCCACAAAATGCTTCATTAATAGAACAAATTAATCAATGGGAAAAAAATTCAATTGAAATAATTCAACAAAAAGCACAAGAAAGTAGAGAAACTGTCATTAAATGTACACAAACATTTTTTAATGATATCGAAAAGAAGTTTAATGATTTATCTGAACAAATAAATGAAATTCATGCTGAAAATGAATTTAATGAAATTAACTTAAATTATTTAAGAAATCAATTAATAGAAATTACACAAGAATTGAATAATTCATCAAATATTTCTATCGAACGCCATTCACAATCATTTATTAATGAAATTTCAATTATTTCATCAAAAAGTAAGTTTTTAAAAAATAATCTTTAAAAGAATAATTCTCACTCTTTTCATCATTTTCTAGAACCGACATTCAACAAATGGAAACAAAATGCCATCACTGTGGCTGATGGAAATGGACATGGACAAGAATTAAATCAACTCAGTGTTCCTTTTGGAATCTTTATTGATAGAAAGAAATATATTTTCATTGCTGATTTTAATAATCATCGTATTATTGAATGGAAATATAATGCAAAGGAAGGACAAATCATTGCAGGTGGAAATGGCAAAGGAAATCGAATGGGTCAATTGAATTTACCAACAAATGTGATTATTGATCAACAAAATCATTCGATTATTATTGCTGATTATGGGAACAGACGAGTGGTTCAATGGTTGAATCAAACTCAACAAATTCTCGCTGAAAATATTGATTGTTGGGGTTTGGCAATGGATAAAAATGGATTTCTTTATGTTTCTGATTATAAGAAGAATGAAGTGAGACGATGGAAAATGGGAGAATATAACAATGAAGGAATTGTAGTAGCAGGCGGAAATGGAAAAGGAAATGAACTCAATCAACTCAATAGTCCAGGTTTTATCTTTGTTGATGAAGATCAATCTGTTTATGTATCAGATAGAGACAATTATCGTGTAATGAAATGGAGAAAAGATACAAAAGAAGGAAAAATTGTTGCTGGAGGAAATGGCGAAGGAAGAAGTCTCAATCAATTGTTTTATCCTCAAGGTGTAATTGTTGATGATTTGGGTCAAATCTATGTGGCAGATGGTGAGAATTATCGGGTGATGCGTTGGTGTGAAGGAAAAGAAGAAGGTGAAATTGTTGTTGGTGGAAATGGAAGTGGAAATCAATCAGATCAGTTGAATGGTCCCATGGGTTTATCTTTTGATGATGAAGGAAATCTTTATGTTGCTGATCTTTGGAATAATCGAATCGAAAAGTTTGAAATAATTTTGTGAATGAAATTTTGATTTTGAAACAAAGAAGAGAATTTTTTTTGTTAAATAAAAAATCGTATTTTTCCATAGAAACTTGATGAAAAGAAAAAATATTTATTTGAAGATTTAACAAAAATAAATTCAATTATTTGTTTATATAGCATAAAAAATAATGGATAAATTAATAACTATTTAAATACCTAGGACATTGCAAAAGTTTTTGTCTCCCAGGATTCTTCTTATAGCCTCAATTTTAGGGTGGATGTGAGTAGATGACGATGTTCCCAATCTAACCGAACCTCATCCACAGCAACACCCACATTTTGCTTTATAAGTACAGACAAATTTTAGCAATCAAATTTCAACACCACAAAAAAATAAGACGAACGAAAAATTTCTATTTTCTTATTATATCTTTTTATCGACTATACAGTTTTTATAGCTATTTGATACATTTTATTGTTATATATTATATACGAAGGAGATGAAATAAGGAAAAACATATTCATTCTTTACCAAAAAAGTATTGTTTTTATACGGCCGAACTATCATATAGCGTCGAATTGTGTCTATTGTCAAAGCAGAATATTTAGCTATAAAAACAGTGATCCTATGTGAACTGTAGAGCGTCTTATGTTGCATCTTGTGGGATGTTTTACTTTTTTTTAATACGGCGTATTAAGAAATTGAAAAGTGATAGATAAAACGTAGTTCTTTTGATATCCTGCTTTGATATAAAAGAAATAATAGATCACAACAAAACACAAGACTTAAAAGTGTGAAACTTTGTACATATTCCTAGATATGTTTAAACACTATAACAAAATATCTGAACTTAAACTGAGACTTTTAGAAGCAGCAAGCCAAAAAAATTTTGTATTATCTCATGTATTTCCATTCTTATGTGATAAATTTATAATAAGTTTATCGAGAAGATTATATTTAAAAGAATAGAATGAAGAATTGATTTATTCATTGTTTCTATTAAATAACATTTAAGATAAATTCATTGACGAACAAATTATCTATTTGATTAATTTTATTTATTATTTCAATTAAAATAATATTCATTCGATATTATATAATATGAACTATATTTTCATAAATAAAACATTGATTAAATAATTATTGATTTTTTTTTCAAATAAAAATAATTTCAAATAGATTCCAACAAAAATTTTTAAGAGAAAAGATGAAATTTCTCTTTATGTATCCATGCTGAGATATCCGATTATAAACACTACTTTTGTTTTTATGATTAAATCTCATCATATCTTATACTTATTTATTTCTCGGTCAAAGCATTATACTTAACAATATTTTTATTATCGAAAGACTTTCTTTTGCTGAAAAATTTATTTGAGATTTTCACTTTCTTTAATTAACAAAATGAAACTATTGAAATATTATATTTTTTTACTTTTCTCCATAAACTGATGATCATTAGGTCCTAACAGGATAGAAATTGTTCAGTTATAAAGCAGAAAAGCAACCGTAACAAAAGAAGTGAAATAATACTAGACGTAGTGAAAAAAAATAAAACACAAGTTGAAATTATTTCTAAAATGTTATTTTTCATCCTTCAATGTCTATTCGTTATGAGAGACTAGAAATCCATTTGATCAAAAATTAAAATGTATTTTTGTTTGTTATTTTTTTCTCTTCTTCACTTGAAATGTTTTGTCACATTTCTTTTATCAATTAAATGTATAGTTGAAAAAAAAACACATGAAATATAAAATGTTATTCATTCACAAAATAGTTAAAACAACTTATTCACCGAAAAAGAAATTCAAATTGAAACATACGAATTAATTTTTACTTTATATCGAAATAATTATACCGAACAGCAAAAGTTTAGAAATTCAATTGTTTGAAATAGTTTCATTCTGGTAAGTTTGTTCTTTTGAAATAATATAAACAATTGAAATAGACTAAAAATTTATATCAATAGATAGTAGTCATGTATCGATCCTGAACTAAAGTTTGGAGGAAGATTTGTGATTTTTATTAAAATTCAATTCTTTTTATCTAGTTGTTATTAAAAGAAACTCGTGTTAAATATCACGAATGTATGACTGAAAAACAACCATGATCGAAAAAAATCGATCTTATTTATGAGAATTTATTTTAAATAATTAAATCATTATAAACTGAGATGGTTAGAATGTGGTTATTCTATTTCACTCACATCCTCAACTTCAGCTTCACATTCACTCATTTTAATTGGTATTGATTTAATTATCTTAAATAACTTGTTATAGATAGAATCGATTGTTTTTGATCACAAATTCTTTTCGATGAAAATGGCATATACTTATGCTGCATCTGAATTCGAATATACCGAACCAAATTGCTTCAATTTATTGAGTGATTACTAATAGTTCGTTTACTTTCAAATAAATTAATTTCAAAATCAAGTTTTATTAGCGTTTTTTTGTATTCAAAAGAAAAATGTCTTTTCATGAATGTTATGATAAGTATAGTACTTTTATATAAATCACTAAATATCTACTAACATAACAAATAAAAAATACCCTTCTGCCAGAAAAATGGAATTATTTTCTCATTGTGCTTCATATATAATCAATATTTTGTTTTATTTTGAACTGTGAAGTAAAAGATAATTTTCGCTCGACTAAATTTTTCATATTGAAATTGTGAATTTAAAAAAATGAGAGATTTAACATTATATGTTGATTACTATCAGGGTTGCCAAATCCAAATCTTAGAAATCAGGAGTTTTTCGTTGAAAAACAGGAGCGTTTTTTCTTTAAACCAGAAGAAAAATACAGCAGTGTTACGCACTTTTTCCAAAAAAGCAAAGCTTTTTATTCTTAAATGTTTACAGTTTTGGTTCTTAATAAGCGAGTTAATGAAACGATCCATCTTACTGAGCAAAACAAAAAATATAGAAAGATAATTACACATCGTTTACTTTACTAATTATTTTGAAGCTGTACATTGAACAATATAAATAAAACTGATATAAGTGTGTCTTAAGAAACTGTTGAAGAATCGAAACAGACCAGAGTAAAACACCTCCTACATCCTTTTTTGATATTATTGCTATACGTTTGTATTTTTCTTCAAAGTGAATTTGTTTGTTTAACAATTCTGCACTATTTCACAAATTTTCTCATTTTAATTTTGAGCTCAACATTTATTAAGATTATTTTTTTATTCTATTCCTGTTATCATATCGTCAAATTCTGTATAACTGGAACTTTGACTCATAATTCGTTCTTTAAACTCATTATTTATCGGTCCATGGTAGCGCTGGAATCGGATCGAATCTAAAAAGATCGACCGGCCCGTATAGATGAAAGTTTTCCGAATTGAGATTTTTCAATAGCCTCTTTCTTTGTTGATCATGTTTCCGGCGATAGAAAAAAACCTAATATAGCGTACATATTACTAGTAGAGGTGGTAAAAAAGGCACAAAACACAGGTTATCTAATTATTTATTGTAATGCTCAGTTAAAAACATGGTTTTTGTTGCATGTGCCATGTATGCTCTTCGAAAGTATACCCTCGCACAAAACTCTTTCCCCTACTGATTTCTTTTTTATCATATCTTGTATAAAATTTATTGTCGAGTGAAATATCACTTCAGAGTTTTATTACATTGTGATCGTTTTACCATACTGAAATAAAACGCTTAAGTCATATCTCTACTAGACAATAAATTTTATACAAAGTATGATAGCACAGAAATAAAAATGGTGGACAGATTTTTTAGTCGAAGGTGTATCATATATTTGGATTCATATTTCTATAGTATTTGTCAAAAGAATTAGAGATACATGACGCTGGTTTGCTATAATATATATACATAGTTGTGACTACTCTCTTTTTTCCATTCTTTGTACATAAAACGCCGTCAAAACTTAAATAAGAAAAGAATTCAAAATCAGAAAAAAATCTTTAAATTTAGTTTCTGATTTCAGGAGAATTATCGTCAGGAGAAACGTTTAAAAATCATGAGGTTTGGTAACTCTGGTCCACACCCACACCCTTATGAAATATTTTATATAAATTTTTCTATAACAAAGTATCACAACACCCATTAAAAAGTAACTTTCTTTTAGATAATAACCTTATTTATCAGTGGACGTAACTACTCATACTATAAGATAACATAGGGTAAGTAAGATCCTTTTTAATACTTTTATTTATATTTAAAACTGAAAATAAAAAAAAGGTTCGGCAAAGCATTTACGAATAATTAATTATTACTATTTGTAAAGTGCTACGTTTTATTTTTTTTAGGAAAATAAATCCTTATCCATACTTTTCTTCAAGTTCTCATTTCATTTTTTCTGTAATTTTTGTTGAGTAGAAACTATCGCTAATCGTCGTGTTTAGTAACTATCAATTTTATTGACAATATACAAAACCATTGAAACTAAAAAATGAAAAGTAATATTAAATTATAACTCATAAGGTTAAAATGATATGTCGGATGAGTTTGTATGGCGTCTTT